GCAGAAGCATGGTCTTCAGATCCGGGCTGCGGAATGAGAGACCAAGGTAAGAAAACTCTCATCTTCGGGGGGCAGTCCCTGCAAAAAAAAAAAAAGATGGAGAGTAATCTCCCGGGAACTCAACGGTAAACCAATAGCAGACAATGCATCATAAATTTCTTGAAGATATTCTGTCATGGTCTTACTACCTTTTGGTAAGATGCTAAAAAAGCTAAGACTTGAGATTGAATTCCTTCACAGAGGATCGAGTATGATTCCTACGCTCCAGAGCAAGCCGGAAGTTGTTGAATATGTCCTTGAAAACTTCTTCTGTCATAGTAGCAAAGAGCCATGACCCTATGGTTTGGTCATTAGTGAACCAGAGATCATATCATATTCTGGGTTGTCAACCAACTGACCGGCAGCAGTAGGGACAAGGCGGCGAAATTGCTCCCGAGACATAACCAAAGACTCGATTCTTATTAAGAATCGGCTCAAATTGAGCGCGCCAATAAAGATAATTATCTTGGTTCAGCCGCATGCTTACCAATTGACTTATATGATGGGCAGATGGTAGGGCTTAGAGGGGGCGGTGGCAATGAGAACAGGGAGAATATTCTTTTCTCAAACCGGGCAGGGAAGCAACCAGCGAAGAGAGCATTGGAGAGGGCGGTGGGCTGGGAGAAGGAAAGGTTTTCTTTGATTCCAGATGTTGACGTAATAGAAGGAAAAGTCCCTTGCTTAAGCCACAGGGCGTCATCGGGCTCAAATACCAGATATAAAGATCCAAGGCATACCTGAGACTCCCGAAGGGAAGGAAAAAGAATGCCCTCTCTTAAGAAGACAGAGCAAAAGCAGCAAAACCTGCTAAGACTAAGACAAGCTAACCCAAAGATCTACCAGTGGGACTACCGAGTTCAGTGCCTGGGGAGAAGAGCAGCAAAGCAGACTGACCAAAATGGGGATAAGTCTTTAAAAAGATCTTTACAGGACTCTGAATGGCTAATCTGATTGAGCAGATGGTTGGCCCTAGGCTAGAGAGACTGTTTAGGCCACTGTATAGGAAAGCCTAGCCCGAGCATCTTGATAGGGAACATCCTTTTCCTAGAGGTGGTTTTCTACTGGAGCTGACCTTGCTCTCAGGAGAAGGCAATGTGTCAGCCTTAGAACACATGGCTCGGTTCACTTGCCAGTGGTAGGGGGCTTCGAATGATGATTACCTAAAGCTTAGGAAATTCCCAAGTTCACTGACAGGCTACGCATTTGCTATATTTGGTATATTCATCTTCCACCGAACTCGATACACAAAAGAAAAGGGAAGACATTCAAAATGAGTTTAAGTCCCACTTCTCTAGTACTGATCCTGCTGTGTCCATGTCAGACTTGGATCGATTGAAGAAAAATGACATATGCAATTAACCAGACACCATATTCAAAAATGAATGGCCAATTTTGTGCTTTCTTTTGATGGCCCATCCCTTTCATAATCGCAGCGCAGAGCAACAAGCCACAAGAGAGGCATTGCTTGCTTCCCGCTTGCAAACAGTAACGGAATGTTCCGCGTCTGGTCGAACATTTTTCCTCTTCCTTACAGTCGAGCTACTTCGTTCCTCGATTTAGTAGCCCTAGCCCATCCTCCCGTGCTTTTCTTGCTTTCAGGATTGAGGCTGTCCACTCTCTATTGCACTCCGGAATTCGAAGTCATTGAACCACTGAACTACCTTAATCAAGCCTGGGATTCTCATAAGCTGATAGACTAGATTGACTTATAACGAACTGGACTTAGCTGAACACCAAGCCGAGATACAAACTTTGGAATCCAAATTTTGTGGAATCGAATAGCGAATGCACTTGCGGTTAAGACAGGTCCTGCATCTCCTCCCTAATGCAATTGACCGACCCGGCATCTCTTTCGTTCAATAATGCCTTTGCTTCAAGACGCGGAAAAAGACACTCCCTTTTTGAATTGACGAAGCCGAAGGGGCGAACGAGCGCTGCGGTAACGAGCCGTAAGAAAGATGAGCAGAGCATTCCTTCCACCGGCCTTTATAGGAGTAGGGGGGCGCGGTGAGATAGATAGACGTCCAATCTTGCAGCAGCTAGTTGCTCGGCCTTAGTCTTGGGCTGATCTCACACTTCAATCAATCGATCGATTAAGAGGCTAATCTCTTTTGTTTAGGTCGGTAACTAAAAGTCCTCGCTTTCTCTTGAACAAGGGCATAGCATTAGCTTCAATTGAACAAGCTCAACCTTGAAAAAGAAAGGCGGTAGGCCGAAGAACCGTTGAACGCTTCAACTTGGCCACTGAAGAAGGCGGCGAGAGACTAGGCCAACTTACTTCTTACTGTCATGCCATGGTTTAAGCTTTAGGCTCCATAGACGGAACTATGTATTAGGTATTAGGGAGGGGAGGAGAGAAAGAACGCATGCATGGAGATTCTGTCTCTCGGAGGTTCGAGAATCTATGAAAGGACATCTAAGACTAAAAAAGAATTCAAGGAAGTCCATTACTGAGAGAAGTGGTGATCTCGTCTTGCTTGCTGGGAGAAAGGAAGCTTCCGGACCACCTTTTCCAGCCGGATAGCGAGCGATCACTCAGCAATGAACACTAACTGAAAGCGGCCGGGAATGAGTACCTATCCCTTACGGGAATCGAACCCGTGTCTTCGACATGAAAAGACGATGTCCTAACCACTGGACGAAAGGGACCAAAAAGCCATTCTTCATATACCTCAGCTCCGAGAATAGAAGTGGTTCGTTTTGTTTCTATACGCAATTCACAAGATTTCGTTTGTGTTCATGTTGGCGATTTCTGATGTGAATTCGGCGGGTCGTCCCCCCTTCCTACGGGTTCCCCCACCGACCCAGTGACACACCAACCACGCCCCTTCCCTTTCTCCGATCATAAAGCCCCCTGATCCCTTTCTTTGTCTTTCATCCCCCCTGAACAGAATAAGTAAGGCCCCGTTCTTTCTAATTAAAAAAA